CACAGACACGTCTCTTTGAAATAAAGCTTCAAAAAGGATCTGCGACACAGCAGACATGGTTGTTTTTACACGTGGAGCATTACTCTGCATCTCCTCCCTACTTTTGGATCTCAAGGCTCATCCTGCAGTCAGGCCCTCAGGGCACGACACTGGTTTGGGGAGTAAGCCACTGGCTTCAGTCATTACACAGAGCATAACAGGCAAGAGAAATCTGGTTAAATACAAATGGTAGTTCGCTCTCCAAAACGGGGAGGCGGACTGATGCAAACCATGCTTTAGGTTTGTATGCATGCATGAGCAGGCTGCACACTCACACAGGTAGATATGGACCAACATGTCAGTTTTACAACCGTTGTCATGGAAACAGGTTACCTAATGTACCATAACCCCATCATGCCCACTGGTAACACATTGGAGTTAGTGTTGCTTGATCCTGGGGTTCTCTCCCATTAATAATGAACAAATATGACAGAATACATTTACCATACCCGCCTTTCTGTAATTATGTGTGTTGCAGCATGGCTGATAATAATAATGACAAAATAGCCCTCGGCAGAAATAACCACGAGCCCGTGCAATAGACCTGCAGGCCACAGTGAATATTAAGTTTAAAACAGATTCAGTGCATCATGTTGGGCACATTCAACAGAGCGTATAGTGCTCCACTCAACACTTACAAATGTGGAACGTTGTTGGAAGGAACGGCGTCACTTGCCCCCTTTGCAAACCTTCACGTGAACCTTTATTACCATTTCATACAGATTTTGGTTCATAACTAATCAAGCTCCAAGCCTCGCTGTTGTGCAGCCGTCCCCACACGGGCTCCTTGCACCAGACCACCCAGATTGTGAGCCTTCTCGCGGCTATGTCTACGCAGAGGCTGGTGCACTCGTTTTTTTGCTTTCTTTTTTTTTTGTTTGTTTTTAGCTTCAAAGTGAAAGCCTGCTCGAGAGCGGCTCGTGCTCGAGCTTCTTACCGGTGGAGTGGTCCACGGGTCCCCCGCCGTTGTTGCTGCCGCTGAACAGGGCAGCGTACAGGTCAGGGTATGCCTTCTCCAGGGCCACACACAGGTCGAGGAAATGGTCGCTCTCCTTGTTCATCAGCATCTTCAAGAGGTGGTCTACTTTCTCGGCGCTGGACGAGCAGTTCTGGTCCAGCTCGAACCTGTCGAGTTGGCTCAAGGTGCCGGAAACTATCAGCAGCTCGATCACTCGGTCCGCGTCGGTTATGGACTCCAATAAGTTCTGGTGGCACTGGTCGAGCAACTCTTTGTGCTTTGGCTCCATGGCTATCCGCTGGTAGTTCCGTAGCTTCCACCAGCTAACCCCCAGACGGCCCGAGCGGATGGAATATCCGCACCGATCGAAAGTACCGAGCGACTGTTGGACTCTAACTCCGGAGCCACCACGGCATTCGGTTGCACGGGAGATCAATTTTTATAGCATATCGAAAAAGGCACAAGAAGCCATATTTGTTGCCCAGGGCTGTTGACTGCACTAAACAGCGATACATGTTCCCATCTTACTCGCGTGCGGCAGTTCAGGTCGTTTTGGGCTTCCTCGCAGAGCACGCTCGAGCCGAACACATTCTCCTCTCTCTTGTGTATCCTTTAAGGCGCCCTCTGACGACTCCACTGCTGGGGAAAACTCACGTAACTCCGCCGATGATTCCCCCAGTTACACTGTATCCTCCGCCATGTCTGAGCAACTCAGCAGCTGCTGCCCGCTGTCAATCAACGCGCAGTTCTATAACCAAATAAGGCGAAACGGGGCGGGGCCTTCACAAAAACACACCTATTTCATCAATGGGCGTGCACGTTACGCCCGTAGTACGTCGAAAATCCCAGGCGGAAAAAAAAAATGAGAATGGAGAAGATTTGCATGAAAATAGAGATTTATCAGAAATATAGTGGTACAGGTGTGTAAACTATTACCTCATCCAGTAAAGCAACCATTTATATTTAGAAACATGCTAACATATTTCCGTTGTCTGCAGTGGTGGAATGTACACATTTACTCATATTTGAGATATTTATACCAATATATTTTTGATTTCATCTATTTTACAGTTAACTTACTCTATTAGATACACATGATGGAAAATAGTATTAATTATCCAAAATAATGTATAATAGTACAATACTCACAGGAGCATCTATTTTTATACTTTATATACATTTTGCATTTTGGATGCAGGACTTTTACTCGTCATGGCTTATTTATGTATTTCTTATTTTACTAAAGGGTCTGATTACTTCTGCCACCATGGTTATCTGTTGTTATCTTTCTGTAAATTCAGTGTGATGCACTATATCTCCACAGAGATGAATACACAACATAAAAAAGAGTAGTTTAGGAATAGTGATCCTTTCGTCATAATCCTTTGATTTAACACGGACACATCCAATCAACCCTCACTGACTACATCAAGTATTGTTTTAGGAAAAATGCTAATGCAGTAATAAAGATACAAGGATTATATTCAGTCCTTGCATAATACTTGATGTAGCCGCAGACTGCTACATGTTTCCACAACCAGAGCTGCATTGCAACCAATCTCAGTGTATCCGTGTGCTGGATTAGATAGAAGAGAGCAGTGAGCCATGTCAACAAGCAATATGTGAGGAGGACAAATGAAAATGTGTATTTGAGCAGGATTTGTGGAATAGAATATGATGATGACGGATGCATTCAGCTTCCAGTCTGAATAAAGAATGTTGGCACAGAAAATGTTGTCTGCAGGCATACCTCTCAAAGCGTGACCTTATTCATGCATGCACTGAATCTCATTGTGACATCTACAACTCTCTCCTCCCCCCCCCCCCTCTCTCCATCTATGACATGCTGGCTCCATAGCCTGTGGAATCATGTGCTGTCCCTTTAGATGAAAAATTAATTACAATTCATTCATCAAAGGGAAGCCGGTCCCCACTGCTGACACAGATTGGACGTTTGTGTCTGCATCCTATTTCTGGGGACACACATTTGAATAGAGGAGACAGCCCTTTTGCTTTTAATCTTGGGGGTAAGAATTAGTTTATTATTTAGACAACAAGGGTGCTGTTTCGAGCTGTCTGATACTTTACTGGAATGTTATTAAACAGATTATTTTGTCAAACAGCCCGGTTCAGGCTAGATAATACAGCTTTATGTTTTATTAAGGGGACTGTCAGCATCATTCATCCTGGTGAAATTGACTAAAACTGAAAATGTTGCAGATTTTTTTTTTAACGCTTGTCTGAATAGAGATCTAGCTAACGGGGAGCTTTTGAAACACTTTTATTTACTGCATCTATAATCATTCTCAACACGGTATATCTATAAAAAATAAATAAATAAATAATAATGATAAAAAAATAAGACAGAACACGCATAAAGAATAAACCTTACATGGTAAAATAAAATAGCCTAAATAAACAAAGTAAAGATTTTACAGTGATTCTGCTATTTTGATCAGTTACAGCTATTAACTTATATTTCTTGTAGACATTATTAAATAGGTCCAAGATTGGTTGCCATACCTTTTGGGTTTCCTATTATACAGATTGAGATGTCTTGCTAAAAGCAACAGCGTGGGCTCGAGAGAGATTCAGATCTCCATGTGAAATGCCAAAAGCTGGCAGACTTGGCTCTGGGTCTAAGGCTCCGTCACGCATGTAGGAGAGTGTTTCACAGAACCATAGCCCAAAATAGCTTCATATTTGGGCAGGCCCAAAATGAATGAGTAAGGGTTGCTGGGTCTCAGTTGCAGTGTAGGGTTGAGTTGTGCACGCTCACCCCTGGACAGATGCAGTCTGTGAAATATTTGAAATTGGATCAACTCTGTTTTTAAGAAACTTTTAATCTAAAGCCATTATTTCCCCACAATACCTTCGACCCACGAGGCACGGTGAGAGGATTCCCAAACGATTAGATCAGCTATAATAGACATTAAATTAGGCAATTCATGCTTTTTAATTAACAGTGAAATACACGGCCTTAAGCTGCATGCCTGCAACAGATGGAGGTTTCTGATCATAATGATATCAAAACTAAAATCTTGGCAGAGACATGCTGAAACACTTTGAAATTACCTTATACAACTCATATAATGATGGCTAAATTATCTACTCAAACCTGATCTAATCGCATCTAATCTTCATAAACAATTCTAGTTATTGTAATCCTAACATCTATCTGAAGCCCTTAAGCCTTTTTCTGGTCAATTTTAGCAGGATGTGATCAAACATGACTCTTCTAGTATGGTTGCTACCCAAAGATTCCTCTGGCAGCACTGCATGCATGCTAGACTTGTTTAATGTGACCAAGGCAGCTTTATGGCTGCTACCCCCCTCCCCCCCTCCCTCCTCACCTCACAGAGTTATTGATCGCAGTGCAGTTAACTCACACATACTACTGTAGCCAGCGGAGCGCAGAGCCACGTCTCTACACTCGAGTGTGTTCCGACAGCATTTTAAGTAAAGCTAACCGGGCGTAATAATCCACGGAGAGCTCCATGTGCAGCCACACACGCTGGCCACTCAACCACCCTCAAGAAAAGATAAATGATGTATGTGTATTGATTGGAGTAGAATGATGTGTATTTAAGGTACACCAGACTTCCATCATATTCAGTGGTGGAGAATGAAGATACTTTATCATTAAGTTGCCTGTACGAATTTAGAATTGTGACCATCGTTATTGATCTAATTCCATCTAATAATGATCCATATTCTTCACAGCTGAGCATTTGTATGGAGCTGTGCTGGTTGACATGTGTAGCTGTTGGGGTTGGACTGAGACTTCACTGCCCTCTACTGGCAAACTGAGTCTATTAACAAGCGCTGACTGCACCAGAGCAGACATGAGAAGGTCATGACTGCTTTGGAGGATATTATAATTGGTTAATGTGCCATCTGATGAAAACTGTTTGTATTCTACCTTGGTATTCGTTTGCTTGTTACCCAGTGAAGGGATATGGTAGAGATTGCTTTGATATTTAGAGGGACACATGTATTTTAATAAGGATTGTTTATTTATGGAATTTTTCAAATAATTTCAATGCATTTCATGTGATGAGCCTCAAACACTTCCAGCGCAAGTTCTCAGTACCTCTTTTCTGAGACTCAAAAAGATACAATCACTGACAATTCATGAAATGCGATGCTTGAGCTTTACATGCTAGAATAACAGGAACTAAGAGTAAAAACATGAATAAAAGCAGCCGATGCAAACACAGCACAACTATGATGGATGAAAAAGGGTAGAATAGAATAGATTATACAATTGCAAACATTAACAGACAACTTTGGCACTTAGCTGCTGTGTACTCTATGTCTCGTACTTTATTCAGCATTGCTGAACATTACTAAATTAGCTGGTAAACGAGACAGATATCGTTAGATATCTGATAATATTGGCAAAATTGATATAAAACGTCTTAAAAATATAACAAATAAAATGTAATCTCTTTCAAATCTACTGTATGGTCATGTATGTTAAACCCAAATATCCAACAAAGACACCACTAGTGGAAAAATATACAACTTTCTTTGTGCGAACTGTATATAGAAAAGAAACAGCAATATAGACTAGGTTCCTGAAACTAGGTAAACATTGCATTGAGAGTACTGGCATAGCATGCAGGTTTACAGATTGTTTATAGTGCATATAGATAAGGCTGAGGACAGATATTTATAGAACATTTCTATAATGTAGTAGTCACGGTTTCCTTCTCAGTCACTGCCCCCACAGAACTTCAGCAGGAGTTTCTTGTAGTCTCCTGATGTGTCTCCCTGTCAATAAAACAAATGCGTCAGCAAAATATTCAGACCCTCATTTCAGAATGAGAATTATTGCCGAGTAGGTTTTGAGATACAAGTAACTTGCTTTGATGTATTGGTGCATAACATAGAAGGTACAGAAAGATAAATCAAAATGTGTATTTATTGAAAATAAAAGCAAGTACTGCAAAAATCAAGAAGAAAAATACAATAGAAATAAGGAAAAATACTATAAAAATAAACAATATATGTGAATTAAAATGAAAGAGCTGTGCGTCTTTAGAAGTGTGTACTTGTTGTTTTTAAATCATTCATCCTGCTGGGGATATTTGTACTAATCACAATATATGATGATACTTACAGAGATGTGTGTGTACAGCGACTTGCCGTAGTTTTTGACATAATCCTGGCGAATATCCAGCATGTCAACCTCAGAGCGGGAGACCATGATCCGGATCAGGGTTGTGTCTTTGGTCCCAGCTCCCTGAATTCACAATGAAGGTGACATCAGTTAAATATTATGAGACACTTATTCAGTTAAATATAGAATATTACTATTTAAATAAGACTGTTTCTCACCTTCATGGCCTTGTAAAGTCTCTCAGCAAAATAGGCAGATGTGTTCTTAATACACTTCACTGGAAAAGAAAATACTGACTTATTACCAACACCAGCACAGTGTACTCATACTTTGTCTCCTTCTTTTTTAATAACAAACCAGATCACTTAATTACTATTAAGTGCACTGTAAAGAACACCATTCTAATATGCATCACTGCAAAGTAAGGATGACGAAGACAGCAATACTTTAGTGCCATCTGAAAAGTAAACTATGAAAAATCAAGCTATGAATGAATACACAAAGAGAATATAACAGAATGGCAAAAGCACATTTAAAGCTGCATTATTCAATATTTTTCACATTTCATGAAATTACTATACGGACTCTGAAGGGGGTGTCACTCGTAAGGACGCACCAATAGAGGATTATGAGCAGCTCTACTGAGCTTTTAAGCCTGTTTGAGCCCAGCACCGTCTGTTTGAGTCTACCTATTATCATCAACACAACATCCCCACTGCCAGCTGTTTTAAATCAGCTCTGATGTACGCTACCTGTCCCCAAGTAGTAGACAGAAGACGTTAACAACTACCTGATGTAGAAAGTTGAGCATCTAAAAAGGAGACTGATTTTTTTTCTCGGGAATTGGTGCAGACTAAAACAGAGCTAAGAGGAGAATTAATATTAGATTTAAGTTCATCAGGTGGCAGGAAACATGACCGCCATAGGGTGATAATGTCACTCTGTGTAGCTAAATGTAAGCCTTAACAACTTTGTGACATGAAGTCAGGGCTGCGCTTGTCAGCCTGTTTCTGGGATTTTCTGCTAGTGGCTACATATTGACTACTGCAGCTTTATTTCAACTTCTATTTTGAAAAAAGTAAATAGGAATTCAGAAACAAAAACAGATGGCAAACATAAAAACACTGCACTGCACCACCACTTCACAATGAAAACGTATAGAATGGGTGTGCAAAACCATTGAAAGGATTCAAATAAACCACATCTGAAAACAGGTTACTGTACCATAACCCTGAGAAATGTTGGGGGAAAAAAAGGAGGGGAAGAAAAGAGATTATGCAACAGCGCCCCTTCCTCCAGTTCTTCTTCAAAAGTGCATTAAGATCACTGTATACAACACGTAACACAATGAGCATTGAATGTAATGTCAAACATGTGCTACAGACAGCCTGGACACTCGTCATTAACTAATTATGTGGAGCTGATTCTCACTCATATTACATGCGTGTGACCCATCTAAGACTAGACTTGAATAGGGGTGTGTGTGTGTGTGTATTCTTACCCACTGCCAACATGCCACCCTCCAGGTCTCCGGACATCTCCCTGTTGATGCTCTTCTCGATATCTCTGCCACACATCTGCTGGTACTGAAGAAACACTGCGCGCACACGCGCACACACACACACACACACACACACACACACACACACACACACACAC